GCGTTTTAGCGCGAACCTGCTCAACTTCTTCTCTCCAATACTCAGTCGTATCTTTGTAATGCTGAAGAGGCACTCCGAGGTACTTAACCGGCGAACAAGTCCAGTGCATTCTTTCGAAACCAGCCGGTGTGGTATCCCAACTACCATGCCAGAAGCCCACACATTTGTCCCAATTGATGAGACTCCCGGAAAATTTACAAAATTCAAGGGCATCCTTAACCACTTCATTTATGCTTTCCTTATCGTCGCAGAACACAGCGATATCATCTGCGTACGAAAGAACCTTTTCTTCGCTGTTCAACAGCCCAAAGCCGCGGATTTTCTCGTTGAATAACAGCTTTAAACAAAAAGGTTCCAGATAAAGAGCGAACAACAAGGGTGATAAAGGACACCCTTGCCTGACAGAGGAGAGAACTTGAAAACTTTCACTAACGCGCTTATTTACAATAATGCTCGCGAAACACTCAGCGTAAGACATTCTAACTCCTTCTAAGAGTACACAGCCAACGTTTACTTGATCTAAAATGCAAAAAAAAAAGCATCGTGTGCTATCCTATCAAAAGCTTTGTCAAAGTCAAGCTGCATCATAGCCACGCGTTTTTCAAATACATCGCAACATTCTAAGATGCTTCTAGCAATGTGTATGTTGGTGACAATCGTTCTCCCCTTAATGCCACATGTTTGATGAGTCCCAATGATGGAGGTTATTACGCCTTGCAGTCTTCTCGCTAAGACTTTCATAAAGATTTTATAGTCCACATTTGTAAGGCTAATTGGTCGATACGACTTAACGGATAGCAGTTTCGCGGGGTCATCACTCTTTAAAATTAGTACTATATGCGTTTGGCGAAAAGATGGGGGCAATACTTTTCTTTCGTATGCTTCCATTATCACGCGGTGCAGGGCTTCGGCCACATCGACTTTGAAAGTCTTGTAGAAAGCTGCACCTAAGCCATCAGGACCAGGCGATTTTCCCGAACCCAGCTCGTCATTTGCCCTTTCTATTTCCCTCACACTGATCGGTGCTTCCAGGCGATCTTTAACGTCGTCGTCTAACTTTGGCATGAGGTTTAAAAAAACGTTATCAAATCCTCTGTCTCTTTGTCTCCGACGTCCCACCAGGTCCCGATAGTAATCTACGAAAGCACGCTCGATTATCTTTCGGTCCCGAGTAACCGTGGTCCCGTACTGTATCTCGTTCATTTCGTTTTGCGTCGCATACCTCTTATCGTCGCCAAGCGAGCGCTTAGTCGGCGTTTCTCCTAAAAAGATTCGTTCAGCGCGGGCCCTTATCGCAGCCCCTCTGTATCTTTCGATGTCAATAAGCTCTAATTTACTCTTTACTTCTTTTATTTCTTTAATAAACGCACCGGGTCGCGCACTTTCTACGCTTGCAAGAAAATCTAGCTTCCACTGTAGTTCCTTTTCCTTTTCTTTTTCCAGACGGCGTAAAATACATGATCTTTCAATCGCGTTGATTTTAACTTCATCTTTAAAATTCTCCCACAGTTCGACAAAACCTCTCGACTCGACAGCAAGCAGGTTTCTAAGACTTTTCTTTACTACGTCAACGAAAGTTTCATCTTTCAGCATCTTGTCATTGAGTTTCCACAGTTCCCAGTTAAACCGCGATTTTGTTTCTTTTCTCCCAATTGTGAAAGCAACTAAACTGTGGTCACTAAAAGATACGTGCTTGACCTCGTAGTTCTCACACAGAGGAACCAGGCCCGCTGAAACATACGCTCTATCTAATCGCGCGTGACTATCTCGTTGAAAATGCGTGAATCGGGGAACAAAAGAACTAGACAAAAAAAGGCCGACGTCTTCCAGGCCGCACTCTTGCACTAGAGAATTCAATAAAAGAGCGCTCTGATCCCGCACAGGCAAATTACGTACTCTATCTTCAGCGGCGCATACACAATTAAAATCCCCCAACAATGTAACAATTCTTTCAGAATGTAGGTAAGAAGCAACGCGCTCAAAAAAAAATCTTCGATCACACTCCCGATTTGGCGCGTACACGCAGACTACCCGCCACCGGTAGCCAGAAAATGAAAAGTCACAAACAATTAAACGTCCCGTATCGCAAACAACGACGGTTTCTACTAATATGCCTAAAGAATTACGGAGAAAAAGAGCGCAACCCCCAGATGACCCAACCGTGTGGCATACACATACATTGTATCGTGATTTGAAAGGTTGCACCATGCGGTCCGTTTGCTCTTGGCTTTCCACTTTTGTTTCTTGAACAGCAACTACGTCCAAGTCGTCTTCCAGGAGGAGGCGACTGAGTTGATACTGTCGGCGCCTTGCTGACAGACCTCTCACGTTCAGCGTGGCTACACGAAGAGCTGTTTCAAGCCTTACTGCCATGAATTAGATCAAACGGGCCGCATGGTGCCTAACTTGGCTTTGCTGCAAAGACAAAGTACTAATGAACCGGGTGCCTCGCCGGTAGTCAGGATATCCCAAAGAACCCACCGACCGCGTCTGCCAGGTCCTCAACGAACCAACTCGGGGCTCTCGTCCTCTCCAGTGCCGTCCGTCTCGAGCTCGAAACGAGTTGCCGCTCGGAGCCCGGGCCATCACACCTAAGGTGGTGATGTCGCCGTTGGACGTCGCTCTGTCGGAACGTTCGGTTTGGGCTTGAAGCTCACTCGTCGCACCGACGCCGCTTTTGGAGGTGGCTCCTCGGGGAGAACCGCGCTGGTGTTCAGTCCTTTGAAGACGCCTTCCTCGCGAGCCCGCTTGGCGACTGCGCCGCTGGATCTTGCCTCGTCGCGGCTCCAGTCCTCCGGCTCCTTGTTGGGCGTCGCCACAGGCACCGAGCTGTGGGTCATGGATACGTCTTCCGCTGCAGACACGTCACCCGCAGCCCGCGCTTGAGGTAGAGGACGGTTCTCGACGACGCTCCGGATGCCATTCCTGTCCTCGGCACTGTGCGGGGGCAGTGCCTCTGGGAGTGGTGGTCCCCCAGCTCCGTCGGCAGCGTCTTCGGACTCGGTCGCGTCCATCAGGTGCTCGGACGCGTCCTCATTCTCCACGGGCCCCGTAACGGTCGCGTAAGTCCTGACGCACTGGCTTTCCTCGTGGCCAAATCGTCGGCAGAGTGCACAACGCGGCACACGACACTCACGCCGTATGTGGCCTTTACCACGGCACCGTAGACAAAGCGGCGCCCTGCCCGGAACTACCACAAGAGCCAGGTCCCCGGCGACTCGCAGTTGGTGAGGGAGGGCGTCCACCGTGACTCCTGCCTTGAGCCTCAGAGACACCGACCGCGTCGTCGACGACACGCCGGCGCAACCTTGAGCGCGCCATCGGTCCCTGGTGACTTCTGTGACCTTTCCATAGGGCGCCAGGGCCAAATGCACCTCGTCGTCAGGAACGAAGTGAAGCAGCCAATGGAGCTTCAATCGTGTATCCTGGTTGCTCGGGTCGACCACGATGCACCGGCCCTCCTTGACGCGGAGCTCACCTGCGGCGAGCAGCTTCTTTTTCCCTTCGACATTCCTGAAGGTGACCGCCCACACATGGTTGTATTGGTAGGCCCCCAGGGCAATTACCTCGGAAAACAGCCCCACACCATCCAGGGCGTCGCGGAAATGTTCCAGGCGGAAGGGCCTTCCTCTCACGTCAGCGTGTAAAAAAACAGTATTCAAAACTGTCGTACCTGTAGGAAGTTGTGGCAAAATAACTTGATACTCCTGGGCATCAAATTCCGTGTTCCTGTTACCGCGGCCGTGGGCCGCTGATACCGCTCCGACGGAGCACATGATGACACGTCCGTTCGCTATCGCGTCCGGAAGTGGAATCCACTAGACCACGCCGGAACAAGAACACCTAAAATACATTTGCTATATATCCGCATCGGCACCAAATAGCTCAAATGAGCTCATAAAAAAGAGGTGTCACCGAAATTTGAACTCGGATTGCTGGACTCAGAGTCCAGAGTGCTAACCGTTACACCATGAGACCCAGCCCTTCCGACGCCGGGAATCGAACCCGGGCCTCCTGGGTGAAAGCCAGGTATCCTAGCCACTAGACCACGCCGGAACAAGAACACCTAAAATACATTTGCTATATATCCCCATCGGCACCAAATAGCTCAAATGAGCTCATAAAAAAGAGATCTCACCGAAATTTGAACCCGGATTGCTGGATTCAGAGTCCAGAGTGCTAACCGTTACACCATGAGACCCAGCCCTTCCGACGCCGGGAATCGAACCCAGGCCTCCTGGGTGAAAGCCAGGTATCCTAGCCACTAGACTTTTTTTTTTTTAGCGATTTAAAACAATAAAAAAAACGACTACCCAGCACTTGTAGGCAGCCGTACAATTAAAATTCTTTCATTCTCATCACATCATCAAATAGGTTTGCCCATTTCGGCAAACTCTCACTGTATTCATAGACACTCTTCACCTGGGTTACCAGTTCAATCAAAAATGCTCTTGCCCCCTTTGGCGGGTGCTCGGCATGTCTAACCGACATGCGAGATTTCCAGAGACCGAATATTGCTAGCAGCATAAAAAGATCACAGGGAACATTATCTTCACGTTCAACAGCCAGAAAACGTATATTATAGGATGTTATGACTAATTCTTTCTTCAAAGTCCTCTTGAGAACATCCCATAGAAAAACAGCGTCCCAGCAGTACAAAAAGGAGTGTTCTACTGTTTCCTTATCCTAGCCACTAGACCACGCCGGAACAAGAACACCTAAAATACATTTGCTATATATCCGCATCGGCACCAAATAGCTCAAATGAGCCCATAAAAAAGAGATCTCACCGAAATTTGAACTCGGATTGCTGGATTCGGAGCCCAGAGTGCTAACCGTTACACCATGAGACCCAGCCCTTCCGACGCCGGGAATCGAACCCGGACCTCCTGGGTGAAAGCCAGGTATCCTAGCCACTAGACCACACCGGATATTTTTATTTCTTTATTGCAGGAGGAATGCAAAAACGGTCATGTCACTTTAAAAAAATTGTTCTGCAAGACTTATTGCAGGGTACATTAAAATCCTCGCATTTCGAGGAGCGGTTTACAAATTTCTAGCCACTCGGGTTTCGTTTTACGGTTTGAAAAAACACTTTCCACTTGCTTAACAAGGCTGAAAAAATAATGATGCACTTCTTTCACACTAGGGTCGGCATGACGGACCGCCATGCGCGACCTCCAAATACTGCACAAACCCAACAACATAATCATATCAAAAGGTATGCCATCATCGTTACTCACATTCAAGAAAAGTATAACTGATTGGCTAATGCACAGTTGTTTCTTCAACGTGCGCGGGAGCACATCCCAAAAAAATACCGCATCCCAGCAAAAAATGAAAACGTGCTCGATGGTCTCAGGTTTCTTACATAAAATACAGTCTACCGACCACGGAACATCAACACCTTTTCCTTGAAGCCACACATTAACGGGCAGTGTATTGGAATGCAGTTTAAAAAAGAACGTTTTAACGGAAGGGGGAACGCACATATTCTTCACTCGCTTGAGCACATCTTGGCCCCCGCTGCAGACTACAGTTCTATACAACGGGTTTGGAAACAAACTTATCAATAAATCGCGTGTAAGTGTTTTCTTGCTAACAGCAGACAAATACTCAAAAGAAAAACGAGCAGACAAGAATAACACTGCGTCTACCACCTCCTTTTGATATCCCACTAATCTCTTAAGTTCGCCGCCATGGGACGAAACGAGAAAAGATGGTAAATGCGGAGACAATTTGGTTTGTATAAATGTACGTATGAAAAAATGCTCTTGGTCTCGTAGAAAAAAGAATCGGGACACAATCTGTTTGCAAAACAAATGCGAGAGACCGAGACCACCGTGACGAATCCGATGGAAAAGATTATCTCTCCTCATCGGCTCCCACTTTGAATTCCAAATAAACGTGGCAAAAACACGGTGAAATTTCTGCACATTCAAGCGAGTACAATGAATGGCCTGCATCACGTACCATAATTTTGCAATGAGAAAAATATTACATACTGTCGCTCTGGCAAATATGGACAGCTCACGCTGCTTCCAACGGGAAGCGCGTCTGTCCAAGTCGGCGGCGACTCCCGACCAATAGGATTTGCTTTGCCTGTAACACTTTAGTGGCACACCGAGGTAAGTGCACGGCACACGGTCCCAACACACCCCTTCAAACACCGAAGGGGTTGTGGCCCACTCTCCGTGCCAAAACCCACGGCACTTGCTCAAATTTATGGCTGCCCCTGTAGCCTTACAGAAGTCTCTTGCCAACTTCACAGCCGCGCTAATACTTGGCTTATCGCTACAAAAAACCGCGACATCATCTGCATAGCTCACGACTTTTATCTCCTCATTTTCCATCCGGAATCCGTGACATTGATTACTGTTCTGAACACTTAAACAAAAAAGTTCCAAATAGAGGTTAAACAATAACGGCGACAAGGGACATCCTTGTCTTACGGATGTTCGCACACGAATCGGTTCAGTCAATTCCCTGTTCACAATGAGCCTAGTGGTACACTCTTGGTACGCCATTTTAACCCCGTCCAAAATACGCTCGCCCACATTCACGTGCTTTAAAACATCAAAAAGGACATCGTGCTTAACACGATCGAAAGCCTTATCTAGGTCCAGTTGAAGCATGGCAACTTGGCCCATGCCATCGTCACATGCCTACAAAAAAGTTCGGGCAACGTGCACATTCGTCAAAATAGATCGACCCTGTATTCCACAGGTCTGATGATCTCCAATGAGCTGGCAGGCAACACTCTGGAACCTCCTCGCTAGGATTTTAGCAAAAATCTTGTAGTCTACATTACACAGAGTTATCGGGCGGAAACCAATGACTTGACGTAGTTTCGCAACGTCATCGCTTTTGGGGATTAACACAGTGTAAGTACGTGAAAAAGACGGCGGCAGTACTTTCCTTTCGTATGCTTTACAAATGACTTCTAAAAAAAGCGGGGCGATTACGCTCTTGTATTTCTTATAAAATTCGGCGCATAGCCCGTCCGGTCCTGGCGTTTTCGAGCTCGGCAAATCGTCTATTGCTCTCTCAACCTCTTGAAAAGTGATCGGCTCTGTGAGGTTTTCCTTCTCCTCTTCCGTTAGTTGTGGCAGGGACTCTAGAAGTTTTCCACACATAGGGTCCTGCCTTCCTTTAACTTGGGTTTCAAAAACTTGCCTATAGTGTGCGACAAAAGCCTGCTCAATACTACTTGGGCTGGTGTTAATCACTCCGTTGTACTCGATTTCGCCGATTTCGTTGCGAAGCGCGAGCCTTTTCTCATCCGCCAAAGACCGTTTAGTAGGCTGTTCTCCCATCAAGTACTTCTCTGATCGAGCCCGAACAATGGCTCCGCGGTAACGCTCTTGATGAAAATGCGCCAGGCGTTGCTTAACCGTTTCCAAATCTTTAACAGCTGTGCCGGGTCGCTCACACTCAGCTCTTGACAGAGCTTGCAAATCTTCGATTAAGCCACGTTCGTCGCAACGTGCCTCGTACGCTAAAATCGACGACCTTTCGATAGCGAGCATCTTCACTTCCTGTTTGATGAGCTCCCATGTCTCGAATATATCGTTCCTTGCGGTTTTAAAAAACGTTTTGAAGACGTTATCTACCGCTGCAAGAAAACTTTCATCATCAAGCAGTTTTGTGTTAAGCTTCCACAGCTTCCAGTTAAACTTGGCCTTCGGGGGCGCTTTTTCGCCGATCGTTGTCGAAATCATGCAATGATCCGAAAAAAACACTAATGCGACGCGATACTTTCATAACATTGCTCCCGCGGAGGCCGATACGTATACTCTATCTAGGCGCGCATGAGACGACGCTTGGAAATGGGTGAAACGAATCTCGCTCGTTTCGTTCGTCACCGTTCCGGCGTCAACCAAGTCAAAGTCTTCAACCAGTTCGCTTAAAACTTGCGCACTCTTGTCGCTGCTCCGCCTCAGGGGCGTTCTGTCTGCTGCCCTTACAACGCAGTTAAAATCGCCCAACAACAAAATCGTTTTATCACATTCTAGAAAACGGCGTAAGCCAATAAAAAAGGAAACACGGTCTTTAACCGTACTAGGCGCATACACACAAACAATTCGCCACTGAAAAGACGCCAAGGAAAAATCGCACATGATGAACCGCCCTTCCGTGTCGGTGGTTACAGCTAACTCCGACAAGGGCAGGGACTTTTTTAAGAAAAAGAAAACATCCGGCAGAAAAACCAACCCCGTGGGTGACACAAACTTCGTACGACTGCAGAAAAGGCCTAAGCGCACTAGCAACCTGTTCCTCCTCAGCCATTTTAGTCTCTTGCACCGCTAAGAAATCGGGTTTCTCTTTAAGCAGCAAACGCTGCAATTGGTATTGTTTTTTCCTGGCGCTCAAACTTCGAACATTTAGCGATGCGACCGGTATTGCTGGTTGGAACGTACAAATCATGTGTTTTGCTGTAGCACTTGCCTTGGCATTCGGACGTCAGTCTTTGTAACCAGGCGTCAGCCGCCTTACTTGCTGTTGAGTCGCCTCCGGTCATCTGGGGTTAAGGTGGGCGTGGGCTGGAAACGCCCCTTCTTTGTCCTCTCCATCCAAGGGTTGGGCCTGGGTGTCATGCCCGGCGTCGATGGAGGGTTCTCGTCGAGACCACGCTTGATGGACTCGGTGGTTTCGTCCATAGTGTCGTGACCTTCGGAAGGCGCCTTCTCGAAAGTCGGGGGGGGAGGCCTCGCGCGGGGCTACGGTCTTCTCCATTGGCGTCGCCGAGGGAGGGAGTGCCGCGCTGTCCGGTTCAGGAAAGCCACCAGCCACCTCCTTCTTGTCCTTTACAGGCGAGACTTCAGTCGAGCCGTCCGCTCCAACAGGATGACTGCAGGGCTCACCAGACGGCGGAGCTTCGTCTTGTTGTCCCTGAGCGGAACGCTCAGCCTCGTCGACATCCATGGTTAGGGGCGAAAGGTCTTCCGCCGCCGCTCCACCAGTTACTCGGGCGTAGGTCTTTACGCACTCTTCCTTCTCGTGGCCGAAACGTGAGCACACCGAGCACTTAGGCACGCGGCAGTCGCGCCTGATGTGCCCGGCACGCTTACAGCGCAGGCAGACCGGCGCCCTCCCTGGGATTACGATAAGGACGTTCGCCCCCTGAAGCCGCAGCTGATGAGGCATTCCGTCGGGCGTGACGCCGCTCTTCAGCGTCATGCGCGCCACCCGGGTAGTCGACTCGATGCCTTCGAATCCCTCGACGCGCCATTTCTCACGTGCGACTTCTATAACCTTGCCGTAGGGTTCCAAAAACTTGCTCACCGCGTCGTCGGTCACATGATACGGGACCCAATGGAGGCGTAGACGAACTTCTGTGCTGCTGGGGTCGATGACAACACACCTCAGGTCCTTCACCTTCAACTCTTTGCAGTCGATGAGCCGCTTCTTGGCTTCCGGCGTTCGCAGCGTGGCTAACCAGACATGGTTCATCTGGAAAGCACCGAGCGCCACAATCTCGGACAGGACGGCGCACCGCTTCAATTCTTGCCGGAAATCTTCAATACGATAGGGGCGGCCTCTCAAATCGCAGTGCAAAAGTACTGAATTTAAAATAGTTGCACCCATTGGGATGGGAGGCCACACCACCTCGTAGTCGTCGGCAGACGATGACGCAGCAAAAGTACCGCGGCCAACTGGGGCCGTTGTCGCAGCTCCGTTGGAGCCAGCCATCCTGCGACCGTTCTCGGCGAGTGCCAGAAGCAGAAAAAAAACACTAGACCACACCGGAACAAGAACACCTAAAATACATTTGCTATATATCCGCATCGGCACCAAATAGCTCAAATGAGCTCATAAAAAAGAGATCTCACCGAAATTTGAACTCGGATTGCTGGATTCAGAGTCCAGAGTGCTAACCGTTTCACCATGAGACCCAGCCCTTCCGACGCCGGGAATCGAACCCGGGCCTCCTGGGTGAAAGCCAGGTATCCTAGCCACTAGACCACGCCTTTTTCTTTTTTTTTTTTTTTGCCAGCTTGGCGTTTTTATTTTGGTATTGGGTGCTATTTACATTTTAAAAGGTCAGTGCTTTTGACACAACTTACTGCAACAATTATTTCCATGACATATGAAACGAACTGCAGCTCAACCGATCAGCGTGGCGGCAGCACTCTAGGGGTTGCTTGCGGTCTGCAATGTCCTTACTTCACTAGAGATTGGAATCTCTCCCAGTGCTCTGTTTCCTCAAAAGAGGTTTCTTTGATGATCGATGACGTATACTTGAAACCATCTCGAAAGTGGCGCCACGCCGATTTTCCGCGTTCACGCACCAAAGTATGATCGGTGCGCGAGTTCCATATCGCATGCAGACGGATCAGAGTGAGAAGTTCGTAACACCTGCTTTGTTGCGGATCAGGAGTGACAAGAAACTTCATGCTGTGCCATGTTGGGTACAGCTCAGTCCTTAACGTTGCGCGTAGCTGCGCCCAAAAGAGTTCGGCATTAGAACAATACAAAAACGTGTGTTGCAACGTCTCCGGGACAGAACATATAGCACAGTTCACGCCCCAGGGCAAATAAAAACCCTTTTGTTCCTCCCATGTTTTAACCGCCAGGACTTCCGTGTGGAAGCGCACAAAAAAGTCCCTTGTGCCTGGGCGAACAGGGTAAACACTTAACCTTTTAAACACGTCCGATCTTTCGGCGTCGGGAAACATTTGGCGATACATTGGAGGCGGCATTACGAGGTCTAGGGTATCCCAATAAAGACGTCTCCTCTTTACTTTGTTTAGATATTCCCATGAGAAGCGTTCTTCGAAAAACCTGATCGCATCTCTGATCTCTTTGTAGTAGCGAAGCGTCGAGCACTTCTTTGGAGCGCCATCTGTTTCTTTCATCCAGGGAGCAAGGTAGTGTCCACCAAGCTCTCGGAACGCCGCCACCAGCGCGGGAGTTTTGTCTCGGTTTCGGAAAGCAAGAAACCGCTGCACTTTTAGTTTTATTTCTAAGTTTACTAATCCGAGTCCTCCTTTTTGCCTACTTATGAAAAGGTTGCTCCGGCGCATTCTTTCGAAACCAGAACCCCAAACAAACGTTGCACAGAATCTATGCACTTTCTGTACATCGAGCTGCCTACACGGCACCGCTTGCGCTGAATACCAAACGGTTGAAAAAAACACTGCATTGCTGACATACGCTCTATTCAAAAGTGGTACGTACCTCCCCCACCATTCTGGAAGCTTCGCCCTCAACGTGTTCAAATGTATGCCATCTACGCCTGTCCTGAGCTGCGTGCTGCCCAATCCGACCCCTAAGTAGTTGGAGATGTGTGTTGACCACGCTATACCCAAGAATAGTTCTGGCTTGGATGGCCACGGTCCCAGCCAGGTCCCGACCGATTTTGTTGGGTTCATTTTTGCTCCTGAAACGTCACAAAACTGACTGACATGTTCTACTGCCTTCCTCACCTCCTCTTGCGATTGCCCAATCAGTGTCACATCATCTGCGTATGCCAACAGTTTAACTGACATTGTGCCCAGGCAAGCTCCCCTTATGCTGTGGTCATTTAAGATTGCTTTGCACAGCGGTTCAAGGTAAATGGCGAAGAAAATAGGCGACATTGGGCAACCTTGCCGTACGGACGAATTAACGGGGATGCTACACGACCTGCGCCCGTTGACCAAGAGTCTTGTACTTATGTCCCGATAGCATATTTTAAGAAAATTCACTAAAAACTCTCCCGTTCCGCATTGCTCTAGTAAGGAGAATAAAAAAGTATGATTCACTCTGTCGAATGCTTTTTTTAAGCCTATTTGTAGGACGGCCCTGGGACGTTCCATGGCTTCCGCCGTTTCTGTTATAACTCTCATTGTGTGCAAGTTTGCGATTATTCACCTGTTCTTGAAGCCATACGTTTGATGATTTCCAACCAGGGTTTGGTAAGCTGTTTCCAGGCGTTTTGCTAAAATTTTTGCCAGGATCTTATAATCTGTTGTTAACAGGCTTATCGGCCTAAAGTCTTCACTACTTGCAATGGAGTCCCTACACTTCCGTTTTGGAATTCGTACCGTCACTGCCTGTCTCATGGAAGGCGGGAGGAGCTTTCTTTTATACACATCTCCGTAAACTTGCGTTAAAATGGGGACTAGTTCTTCTGAAAAGATTTTGTAAAAAGCTGCGCCCAGACCGTCTACACCCGGCGATTTGTTCGGTGTTAGCTCCTTAATAGCACTTCGTACTTCTGACTCGCTGATAGGCCTGTTCAGGAATTCAGTTGTTGTCTCTGCACTCGTTTTATTGCTGTCCAGCACTCGTTTTATTGCTTGCCTGTTGAGGTTCCTCTGTTTACCAAAAATGCTGCTGAAAAAGGTGACCAGCTCTCGTTCTATTTTTGCGGGGTCGGAGATGATGTTCCCTTTACTTTGAAGCTGATTAATTTGGTTGCGGCTGGCGCGTTCGCGCTCACGCGTTTTAAAGATTTTCGTAGGGTCTTCAGAACGCCCTAGCGTCCGTAATCGTGATCTGACCATTGCTCCGCGATACTCCTCTTCTAGTATTCCGAGCAGTTGGGATTTACATTCTCGAATATCAGCTGTAAACACACCGGGCGTCCTATTTTCTTCTCGAATTAGAGTTTGCAGCGCCTTCGTCACGTCCCTCTTAACGGCCTTCCTTTCCCGAAACTTTTCTTGGCAAAAGGCTATAATGCACATTTTTATCTCTTCTTTTAGCAGCTCCCAGTGTACGGCAGTTGTGTGGTTTCCTTCCCCTTTATCTATGATAAGTTTTCTAACTGCGCGCTGCAGCCCCTCCTCCTCGAGAGCATTTTCGTTTAGCTTCCAACTTTTCCAGCATGAGTCGCGATTTGGCTTTTCTTTTACCTTTCTTATCTGCGCGGCAACTATGGCATGATCGGAGAAAGCTAACGGCTTAACCTGAGAGCTGGCCGTATCTACTGCTAAGCGACTCGAAGCATATATTCGGTCCAGGCGCGAGTGACAATCGCCTTGCCAATGTGTGTAGCCGGGAGCAGGTGCTTTTACAAATTCCGTTACGTCTTGTAAATCAAAGTCTCGGATTAGCTTCTTTAGTTCCGTCAGACTGGAATCCTGTTGGAGTCCCTTCGAGGAGTCGTTTGCTCGAGCGACACAGTTGAAGTCTCCTCCGAGTATAGTCTGCGCCGGGGTGTTCATGTATTGTCTGAGCTGATTGAAAAATAATTTTCTTTCTACTGCGAGATTCGGCGCATGCACAGAAATTAATCGTAATGCTTCATTATTGTAAACCCCATCAACCGCGCAAATTCTCCCACTTTGATCTGTCTCCCATTCCGGAAAGGCCGAGGTGCGGTTAAAACTGCACTGGGTGCCGTGCGACGTCCCGGACGACACCATCCGGAGAGCTCTCGAGCAATATGGCAGGGTCGAGGGCGTCACTCGAGAAGGCTGGCAGGAAGAGGGGTTTCAGGGAGTTGAATCAACTACCAGAGTGGTAAGCCTCAAGCTCAAAGAAGGCGTCACTTTGGATAGGCTACCACACCAGCTGCGTCTTCCACATGGCTCGGTGCTCGTCGTTGCGCCCGGGCGCGCCCCAATGTGTCTGCGATGTCGAAGGACTGGACACGTCCGACGTGAGTGTAAGACGCCACGATGCGAACTGTGTCGACGCTTTGGCCATGAAAAGGACGACTGCGTCAGGACCTATGCAACGGTCGCAGACGGCACGGGCGGCATCGACGAGTCCGAGCATCTTATGGACGAGGAAGAAGTGGAAATTACCGCTGGCGGCACACCGACGGCTAGGGGTAACTTCACCGAGCCAAGCGCCTTCAACAGGGCTGCCAATGAAGATACCGCGCCTGCCACGCCCCCCACGCTCCAAGACTACCCACTGTTATCGGCTACCTCAAAGGCAGACGTAAACGGCGGCAGCACGGAAGTCAACGCTTCCGTCAAGGCTGCGTCACCACGTCAGGTGGGTGAGCCCAACGGCGACTACGGGGGCACCGAGGTGGAGATGCAAGCTACACCGGACGATAAGGACCATGCCAACTTGGAGCCATCGGAAAAAGAGGATTGGGCCAGCACAGAGGAGGAAGGCCAAGGGCTGCACGAACAGCGCCTCAAGATGAAGCAGCCAAGCCAGAGACGTTTTCGATACAACCCCAAGCCTCGGATCCTGCCGGACGCCCGCCGGCAGAAAGACTCTGTATAGGTTCGCTTTATTTGCCCTCTGCTGCATGTTATAGAGGCGTGGTGGGTGGTTGGTTGGGTGTAATGCCACACGTTAGAAGAGCGGCCAAGGAGGCACAAAAAGCTTGCAAAATTCAATTTAAAAATAATTACGCTTAATTGCGTTAGCTTGATAGCCCAAAAAAAGGAAGCCACTAGACCACGCCGGAACAAAAACACCTAAAATACATTTGCTATATATCCGCATCGGCACCAAATAGCTCAAATGAGCTCATGAAAAAGAGATCTCACCGAAATTTGAACCCGGACTGCTCGATTCAGAGTCCAGAGTGCTAACCGTTACACCATGAGACCCAGCCCTTCCGACGCCGGGAATCGAACCCGGGCCTCCTGGGTGAAAGCCAGGTATCCTAGCCACTAGACCACGCCGGAACAAGAACACCTAAAATACATTTGCTATATTTCCGCATC